GTAATGCAGTGTCCACGGCAGGCCTGGTGTGTAGTGTAGATGTCGCAGGCACTGATGTGTGGTGTAGTGTCCATGGCAGTCCCTGGTGTGTGTGTGTAGTGTAGTGTCCATGGCAGGCACTGGTGTGTGGTGTATGTAGTGTCCAGCAGGCCCTGAGGTGTGGTGTATTGTAGTGTTCATGGCCTGGTGTGGTGTGTGTAGTGTCCATGGCGGTGTGTGGTGTATTGTAGTGTTCATGGCAGGCCCTGGTGTGTGGTGTAGTGTAGTGTATGGCAGGCCCTGGTGTGTGGTGTAGTGTAGTGTCCATGGCAGGCCCTGGTGTGGTGTAGTGTAGTGTCCATGGCAGGACCCGGTGTGGTGTAGTGTAGTGTCCATGGCAGGACATGATGTGTGATGTAGTGAGTGTCATGGGCCCTAATGTGTGATGTAGTGTCCATGGCAGGCCCTGGTGTGTGGTGTAGTGTCCATGGCAGACCCTGGTGTGTGGTGGTGTAGTGTCCGCAGGCCCTGATGTGTGGTGTAGTGTAGTGTCCATGAGAGGCCCTCATGTGAGGTGTAGTGTCCATGGCAGGCGTGTGTGATGTTGTGTAGTGTCCATGGCAGGACCTGATGTGTGATGTAGTATAGTGTCCATGGCAGGCCCTGATGTGTGGTGTAGTGTAGTGTCCATGGCAGGCCCTGATGTGCCATGAAGTGTTGTGTCCATGGCAGGTCCTCATGTGTGGTGTAGTGTAGTGTCCATGGCAGGCCCTCATGTGTGGTGTAGTGTAGTGTCCATGGCCCTAATGTGTGATGTAGTGTAGTGTCGCAGGCTGATGTGCCATGTGGTGTAGTGTCCATGGCAGGTCCACATGTGTGGTGTAGTGTAGTGCCCATGGCAGGCCCGTGTTTGGTGCAGTGTAGTGTCCATGGCAGGTCTGGAGTGTGGTGTGGTGTATCCATGGAAGGCCTTAGTGTGTGGTGCAGTGCAGTGTCCTGGCAGGCCCTGATGTGTGTGGTGAAGTGTATCATGGCAGGACCTTATGTGTGGTGTAGTGTAGTGTCCATGGCAAACCCTGATGTGTGGTGTAGTGTGTGATGTGTGGTCTGGTGTAGTGTCCATGGCAGAGCCCTGATGTGTGGGTGTAGTGTAATGTCGTGGCAGGCCCTCATGTGTGTGTAGTGTAGTGTTCATGGCAGGCCTGGTGTGTGAGTGCAGTGTCCATGGCAGCCCCTGGTGTGTGGTGAAGTGTCCATGGCAGGACCTTATGTGGTGTGGTGTAGTGTCCATGGCAGGCCCTGGTGTGTAGTGTGGAGTGTTGTGTCCATGGCAGGCCCTGGTGTGTGGTGTAGTGTAGTGCCCATGCAGGCCCTGATGTTTGGTGCAGTGTAGTGTCCATGGCAGGCCCTGATGTGTGGTGCAGTGTCCATGGCAGGCACTGATGTATGGTGTAGTGTCGGAGTAGGCCCTGATGTGGTGTAGTGTAGTGTCCATGGCAGGACATGATGTGTGATGTAGTGAGGTGTCCATGGCAGGCCCTGATGTGTGATGTAGTGTAGTGTACATGGCAGGCCCTGATGTGTGGTGTATTGTAGTGTCCATGGCAGGCCCTGATGTGTGGTTTAGTGTAGTGTCCATGGGGCTCCTGTGTGGTGTAGTGTAGTGTCCATGGCAGGCCCTGATGTGTGGTTAGTGTAGTGTCCATGGCAGGCTCTGATGTGTGGTGGTGTAGTAGTGTCCATAGCAGGCCCTGGTGTGCGGTGTGTAGTGTCCATGGCAGGCCCTGATGTGGTGTAGTGTCCATGGCAGGCCCCTGGTGTAGTGTAGTGTCCATGGCAGGCCCTGATGTGTGGTGTAATGCAGTGTCCACAGGCCCTGGTGTGTAGTGTAGTGTCCATGGCAGGCACTGATGTGTGGTGTGAGTGTCCAAGGCAGGCCCTGATGTGTGGAGTAGTGTAGTGTCCATGGCAGGACATGATGTGTGATGTAGTGAGGTGTCCATGGCAGGCCCTGATGTGTGATGTAGTGTAGTGTACATGGCAGGCCCTGATGTGTGGTGTATTGTAGTGTCCATGGTAAGCCCTGGTGTGTGGTGTAGTGTAGTGTCCATGGCAGGCCCTGATGTGTGGTTTAGTGTAGTGTCCATGGCAGGCCCTGGTGTGTGGTGTAGTGTAGTGTCCATGGCCCTGATGTGTGGTTTAGTGTAGTGTCCATGGCAGGCTCTGATGTGTGGTGTGTGTAGTGTCCATGGCAGGCCCTGGTGTGCGTGTGTAGTGTCCATGGCGGCCCTGATGTGTGTGTAGTGTCCATGGCAGGCCCTGGTGTGTAGTGTAGTGTCCATGGCGCCCTGATGTGTGGTTTAGTGTAGTGTCCATGGCAGGCCCTGGTGTGTGGTGTAGTGTCCATGGCAGGCCCTGGTGTGTGTAGTGTGTGTCCATGGCAGGACCTGGTGTGTGGTGTAGTGTAGTGTCCATGGCAGGACATGATGTGGATGTAGGAGGTGTCCATGGCAGGCCCCAATGTGTGATGTAGTGTCCATGGCAGGCCCTGGTGTGTGGTGTGTAGTGTCCACAGACCCTGGTGTGTGGTGTAGTAGTGTCCATGGCAGGCCCTGATGTGTGGTGGTGTAGTGTCCATTGCAGGACATGATGTGTGATGTAGTGTAGTGTCCATGGCAGGCCCCTGATGTGTGGTGTAGTGTAGTGTCCATGGCAGGCCCTGATGTGATATAGGTAGTGTCCATGCAGGCCCTGATGTGTGGTGTGTGTAGGCCCATGGCAGGCCCTGATGTGGTGTAGTGTCCATGAGAGGCCCTCATGTGTGGTGTAGTGTAGTGTCCATTGCAGGCCCTGATGTGTGATGTGAGTGTAGTGTCCATGGCAGGCCCTGATGTGTGATGTAGTATAGTGTCCATGGCAGGCCCTGATGTGTGGTGTAGTGTAGTGTCATGGCAGGCCCTGATGTGTGGTGTGAGTGTCCATGGCAGGCCCTGATGTGTGGTGTAGTGTAGTGTCCATGGAAGGCCTTAGTGTGTGGTGCAGTGCAGTGTCCATGGCAGGCCCTGATGTGTGGTGAAGTGTAGTGTCCAAGGCAGGCACTGATGTGGTGCCGTGTTCATGGTGCAGGCCCTGATGTGTGGTGTAGTGTAGTGTCCATGGAAGGCCTTAGTGTGTGCAGTGCAGTGTCCATGGCAGGCCCTGATGTGTGGTGAAGGTAGTGTCCATGGCAGGCCCTGATGTGTGGTGTAGTGTAGTGTCCATGGCAGGCCCTGATGTGGTGTAGTGTCTATGGCAGGCCCTGATGTGTGGTCTGGTGTAGTGTGTCCATGGCAGGCCCTGATGTGTGGTCTGGTGTAGTGTCCATGGCAGGCCCTGATGTGTGGTGTAGTGTAGTGTCCATGGCAGGCCCTGATTTGTAGTGTAGTGTCCATTGCAGCCCTCATGTGTGGATGTAGTGTCTACAGCAGGCCCTGATGTGTGAAGTAATGGCAGGACATGATGTGTGATGTAGTGAGGTATCCATGGCAGGTGTCCACGGCAGGCCCTCATGTGTGGTGTAGTGTAGTGTTTATGGCAGGCCCTGATGTGTATTGTAGTGTCCATTGCAGGCCCTCATGTGTGATGTAGTAGTCTATGGCAGGCCCTGATGTGGTGTAGTGTCCATGGCAGGCCCTGAAGTGTGGTGTGAGTGTCCATGGCAGGACATGATGTGTGATGTAGTGAGGTGTCCATGGCAGGTGTCCACGGCAGGCCCTCATGTGTGATGTAGTGTAGTGTCTATGGCAGGCCCTGATGTGTGTGTAGTGTCCATGGCAGGCCCTGAAGTGTGGTGTAGTGTCCATGGCAGGACATGATGTGTGATGTAGTGAGGTGTCCATGCAGGTGTCCACGGCAGGCCCTCATGTGATGTAGGTAGTGTCTATGGCAGGCCCTGATGTGTGTAGGTAGTGTCCATGGCAGGCCCTGATGTGTGGTGTAGTGTCCATGGCAGGCCCTGAGGGTGTAGTGTCCATGGCAGCCCTCATGTGGTGTATTGTCCATGCAGCCTGATGTGTGGTGTAGTGTCCATGGCAGGCCCTCATGTGTGGGTGTATTGTCCATGGCAGGCCCTGATGTTTCTGTTTAGTGTCCATGGCAGGCCCTCATGTGTGTAGTGTCCATGGCAGGCCCTGATGTGTGGTGTAGTGTCCATGGCAGGCCCTGATGGTGGTGTAGTGTCCATGGCAGGCCTCATGTGTGGTGTATTGTCCATGGCAGGCCCTGATGTGTGTGGTGTAGTGTCCATGGCAGGCCCCATGTGTGGTGTGATTGTCCAGAGCCCTGATGTTGGTTTAGTGTCCATGGCAGGCCCTCATGTGTGGTGTGTGTAGTGTCCATGGCAGGCCCTCATGTGTGGTGTAGTGTGTCCATGGCAGGCCCTCATGTGTGGTGTATTGTCCATGGCAGGCCCTGATGTTTAGTTTAGTGTCCATGGCAAGCCCTCATGTGTGGTGTAGTGTCCATGGCAGGCCCTCATGTGTGGTGTAGTGTCCATGGCAGGCTTTCATGTGTAGTGTAGTGTCTATAGCAGTCCCGCATGTGTGGTATAGTGTAGTGTCCATGGCAGGCCTTTATGTGTGGGTAGTGTCCATGGCAGACCCTTTTGTGTGGTGTGTATATCCTGTAACTTCATTATCTCAACCATCAGGTTCTTCCTGTTCTTTAACTAAAATATAGGGACAACTTGTCTAGCTGTGAGTAAATATAACAAAAAAGGTTTTTATGACCAGATACAGGGGAGAACAAATGAAGAAAATGAGGATATACCTGCTGAAAAAAATATAGCTATATAGGAAGACAACATGCAAGAATAAATTTAAATTAATTGTGAAGTGGAAGACTCCAACATAAGTCTACAGGGGCCATAGAACACTTCATTATAATAATATAAATTAGGGACAATAAATATTTCAGAACTGTACTGTACTGTATTGTTATATCTGGGCAAAAAATATAGGAGAAAGTTAGTGAGTAATACTGACTCATGGTGTTCTCCAAGGCATTTACTTCTCCTTGCTGCTGGTAGTGGGAGCTCTGTTGCATCCTTTGTTGGCACAACTGTAGCTCATGGGATCTCAGGGTGAACTGCTGCTTTACTGATAAATATTTCTCAGCATTCCTCTGTTAAATATATAATGATTAACTATCACACCAGAGCATCCAGCCCAGAGAAGAACAACATATAACAGTGATTAGATGAGCAGGTAAATACCCACGTAAGTTGACCCACACTACAGTAATGGAACGAGATTAGGGCCTGACCCAATCAGGGTCACGAATGTAAAAGGAGTTCTTGGCCCCGTGTGATGAGAGAACAGGTGACATGATCTTGTTAATCTAAGAAACTGCCTCCAGCCAGCAAACACACACCTGACCAAATACACCCAGATTGATAATAATTAGGAGGCGACACCTGCCGGGCGGAGACCTACAATAACAGGGGCCTACAGCTCCTTCCAGAACCAAAAGCCACCACTACCTCACACCACCACACTCCCACACCACCAGCCACCACCACCACACCACACACCCACACCACCAGCCACCACTTCACCACACCACCACACCCCATGAACACCACCCAGCCCTCTACCACCTCACACCACCACACCCCATGACCACCAGCCACTACCTTGCTGGGTACCCATGACCACCAGCCACCACTACTCCCACACCACCACAGTCCCATGACCACTCAGCCACCACTACCCCACACCACCACACCACATGACCACCAGCCACCACTACCTCACACTCACCACACCCCATGACCACCAGCCATCACTACCTCACACCACCACACACCTATGACCACCAGCCACCACCACCCCACACCACCACACTCCCATGACCACCAGCCACCACCTCACACCTGGCCAGGCCCCATGACCACCAGCCACCACACACCACACCCCATGACCACCAGCCACCACTACTCACACTACCACACTCCCATGACCACCAGCCACCACCACCCCACACCACCACAGCCACTGCACCACACACCCATGACCACCAGCCGTCACCACCCCCCACACACACCCATGACCAGCCACACCACATCACACCACCACACACACCCAAGACCACCAGCACCACTCAGACTGGCTCACCACACTCCCCATGACCACCAGCCATCACTTCACTCCTCAACACACCCCATGATCACCAGCCACCACCACCTCACACTACCACACTCCCATGACCACCAGCCATCACTACCTCTACAATCACCACACCCAGACCACCAGCCACCACTACCACACTCACCACACCCCATGACCACCAGCCATCACTACTCCACACTCACTACACTCCCCATGACCACCAGCCACCACTACATCACACCACCACACTCCCATGACCACCACAGCCATCACCACCACACTACCACACCGTGAGACCACCAGCCATCACTACTTCACACCACACACTCCCATGACCACCAGCCACCACTACTCTACACCACCACACCCCATGACCACCAGCCACCACTACCCACACACGACACACCCATGACACCAGCCAACACCCCACACTACCACTACACCCATGACCACCAGCCACCACTACTCCCCACACTCATTGGTTACACTCCCCATGACCACCAGCCATCACTACCCCACACCACCACACCCCACAGACCACCACCACATCACACCACACCCCATGACCACCAGCCATCACCACCACACTACCACACTCCTATGACCACCAGCCATCACCACCTCAGCACACTACTACACCCCATGACCACCAGCCACCACCACCTCACACCACCACACTCCCATGACCACCAGCCACCACTACCACACACCACCACACACACCCATGATCACCAGCCAACACTACTCTGCACCTTACTACACACCCATGACCACACTCAGCCACCACTACTCACACCACTACACCCCATGACCACCTTAAACATCACTACCTCATTAATTAATATTACACTCCTGTATGACCACCAGCCATCACTACCTCAATAATTACTATTAATTCCCCATGACCACTAGCCATCACTACCTCACACACCACATTCCCATGACCACCAGCCATCACTACTCTCACACATGACCACCAGCCACCACTACTCCCACACTACTACTCCCATGACCACCAGCCACTACCCCACACTACCAAGACCCCAGGACTTTCACCAGCCATCACTACCCTCACACCATTAATTCCCATGACCACTCCAGCCATCACTACCTCACACCAATTCACACCCTTGACCACCAGTCATCACCACCCCACACCACCGTTAATCTCTTAACACCAGCCACCACTACCTAAAACCAATACCATGACCACCAGCCACCACTACTACATATCAATCACCAATAATCCCATGACCAATTCAGCCTTCACTAATTTCACACCATCATGACCACCAGCCACCAATTACCAACACACCACCAATAATCAGTATGACTAATTCACAGCCATCACTACCAATAGACACCAATGCTAATCATGGCTTAATCACCAGCCAACCACTACACCACACACCACACACCCCATGACCACCAAGCCATCACTTTCACCTCACACCACCACTCCCCATGACCACCAGCCACCATCACTCCCACACACTGCAGCACTCCATGACCACCAGCCATCATACCCCACACTCACACACACACCCATGACCACCAGCCACCACACATTCACACCACTACACTCCCATGACACCAGCCATCACCACCACACACTACCACACCCCATGACCACCAGCCATCACCACCCCACACCACCACACTCCCACATGACCACCAGCCATCACCACCACACACACCCCATGACCAGCCAGCCATCACCACCTCAGTACTACCACACTCCCATGACCACCAGCCACCACTACCACATTCACCACACTCCCACATGACCACCAGCCATCACTACTCCTCACACACTACTACACCCCATGACCACCAGCCATCACACCACACCACCACCCCAGCATGACCACCAGCCATCACTACCACACTACCACACTCCCATGACCACTAAAGCCATCACTACTCCCCACACCACTACACCCCATGACCACCAGCCATCACTACCTCACACCACCACACCCCATGACCACCAGCCATCACTACCTCACACTACTACACCCTTAAGACCAATTTGGGTGCCACTACTCCCACACCACTACACCTCCCATGACCACCAGCCATCACCACCTCACACTACTACACTCCCAAGGACCACCAGCCATCACATTTCACACTACTACACTCCATGACCACAGCCACCACTACTCTCACACTACTACACTCCTATGACCACCAGCCATCACTACCACACTCACTACACTCCCATGACCACCAGCCACTCACACTTGTTACACTCCCATAGACCACCAGCCACCACTTAATTGGCCACACTCCCATGACTACCAGCCATCACTACTCACACCACTACACTCCCATGACCACTCAGCCATCACTACCTCACACTACCACACTCCATGACCACTCAGCCACCACTACCTCACACTACCACACTCCCATGACCACCAGCCATCACTACTCCTGACTACTACACTCCCATGACCACCAGCCATCACTACCTCTACACACACACCCCATGACCACCAGCCCACTACCTCACACTTTACCACACCCATGACCACCAGCCATCACCACCTCTACACTACCACACTCCCATGACCACCAGCCATCACTTCACTTCATGTTCACCACACCCCCATGACCACCAGCCATCACTACCTCACACTCATTACACCCCATGACCACCAGCCATCACTACTTTCACACTACCACACTCCCATGACCACCAGCCATCACCACCTCACACCACCACACTCCCATGACCACCAGCCACACTACCTCACACCACCACATACACCCCATGACCACCAGCCATCACTTACCTCACACACCACTGGCTGAGACCCCATGACCACCAGCCATCACTACCTCACACCACCACACCCCATGACCACCACATCACCACACACACACCCCCACAGACCACTCAGCCACCACCACTTCCTCACACCACCACACCACATCCACTCAGCCACACACCACCACACCACCACACCCCATGACCACCAGCCATCACTACCTCACACTACCACACACCCATGACCACCAGCCATCACTACTCTCACACATTTCACACAACCCAGACCACACCAGTCACCACCCCACACTACCACACCCCATGACCACCAGCCATCACCACCACACCCACCACCAGTGACACCACACCACCACCACACCACCACACCCCATGACCACCAGCCATCACTACCTCACACTACTACACACCCATGACCACCAGTCATCACTACCCACACACACACACCCATGACCACCAGCCACCACTACCTCACACACTATTACACTCCCATGACCACTTAGCCAAACACCACCTCACTCACCACACCCCATGACCACCAGCCATCACTACCACACAACCACACCCATGACCACCAGCCACCACTACCTCACACACTACCACACCCATGACCACCAGCCACCACTACTCAAGACCACCACACACCCATGACCACCTGCCATCACTACTCCCCACACCACCATTAATTCCCATGAGACCACTAGCTACCACTACCACACACCACCACACCCATGACCATGAGTCATCACTACTCCACACCACCACACTCCCATGACCACCAGCCACCACCACCAAAACTACCATGACCACCAGCCACCACTAACACACACCACCATACCCCATGACCACCAGCCTTTCACTATTCATACTACCATGACCACCAGCCACCACTTTAATATTAACACTAATACACCCCAGACCACCAGCCATCACTACCACACATCCACCACACTCCCATGACCACCAGCCACCACTACACACACACCACCACACTCCCATGACCACCAAGCCATCACTACCACACACCACCACACCCTAGACCACTCAGCCACCACTTCACCACACACCACCATACTCCCATGACCACCAGTCATCACTACCTCACACCACCACACTCACATGACCTCCTGCCCCTCCCCCACATTCCATCACACATTAACTATTACGGACTATTTTTTTTGGGGGATTAGGCCCCTGGCACAGGTCCCTGACCCATATCG